CCCCAAAACCCCAAAACCCCAAAACCCCAAAACCCCAAAACCCCAAAACCCCAAAACCCCAAAACCCCTAAAACGAATATTTTTATTGCATTATTATCAAATTTTATAAACAATGGAAGACTTGAAACAGATCTATGAAGACATCCAGCAGATAGGAAAAGGAGCTTTCGGAAAAGTTTATGCTGTCACACGTCCAGAGTCTCAAGAGAGATTCGCTCTTAAGGTAAATTCCCTTTTGAATCTCTTCTGTTCAGAGAAATTCCTACTGCTTGATTTGGGAATTGGGATGAACAAATTGATGATTAGTGGTATAAATAGTTGGTTTAGCTTAATGAATAAATGTAGCAATAACTAGAAATCATCTGACTCACTTATATGTAGGTAGTCGAAGTAGGCCCCAGAGTGACTAAGGCAGAACGAGTTTTGAGAAATGAGATCGATATGTTACAGAAGCTTTCACATAAGTCTATCATAAAATATCTCGGGGAAGGTCCCCAGCCTAGCTTGATTAAGTGTACAGCCTTTGACGACGAGAGTAGTGTGAGCTCAGCTGACCAGCCAGAGTCATTACTCCTGTGTCCATTAGAATTATGTGAGGGAGGATCTCTTCAAGAATACATCAACAATGTATCAGAAATATCTGAAGATAGTACTGATGGTACCGGTCGCTGTCTCTCTGATGAGGATGCTAGTATTGTGATGAAGAACATCCTTGAAGCAGTTTCTTACTTACACAACTTAGGCATTGTACATCGTGACTTAAAGCCTGAAAACATAATGTTCAAATCAAAAGGTAACCAGTATACATCTCCTGATTTATCAATCCGGCTGATAGATTTTGGATTGTCTACTTACCAAGGAGAGAGTTATTCGCAGGCCCCCTTGGACATGCACTGAGGAACAATGCCGTATATGGCCCCAGAGATGGCTAACAAGCAAGGATACAGCAAAAGTATCGACATTTGGGCTTTAGGTATCATCTTGTACAACTTGATATCTGGCGGCAAGCACCCTTTGTATCAAAAAGGTGAAAACAAAGATGAATACAAACAAAGATTGAAGCAGAAGCAAAAGTTAGAGTTTGATAACTCCTTCTCAGATCTGGCTAAGGACCTTATCAAGAAGATGTGTGCATACTCTCCAGTGTATAGGTATAACATAGATCAAGCCCTTAAGCATCCTTGGATCACTAGGTCTCAAGAGACCAAAGTTCCTCTTACATATTTGGAGATAATTAAATATGGCGAGAGCCAAGAGCGTCTCAAAATCGTAAGCTTAGTTCTTAACTCCTAGGCAATGATGAGTTGCTTTTCCCTTTCAGTGTTGAAGGAGCGTGGATTCAGTGGTCAGCTCAAGTCTGTATCCCCTTTCAAAAACAAAGCTATCAAGAACAAGTTAAAACTGAATCAACAACAAAATAAGATAGATGATTATAAGGAACTTATAAATAAGTTCTCTGATAAAATTGAAGAATGGCACAAATCCTTAGTTGAGAAAAAGCAAGGGAGATTTGATAAAGACGAAGAATTTATTGACCTCCAGCCTTCGCCTACTAAGTTCCAGTCGGAATACTCCTCTAGCTCTGGAGATTACTCTATTTCGAAAGATTCCACTAATGCAAGATCACCGAAAATGTCTAGATTTGATACATCTCTGCTAGAGAATTCCAAGCGGGGAATCAGAATTTCCAACAGGAAGAGCAAGAATAGCATAAAAGGGAAATTTAAGAGAAGTTCAACCTACTTCTCCAGCACAAAATGCCAGTCTCCAGATATCAAGAATAGGAAATCTTTCAAAAAATTCCTTAAAGGAAGTCCAAATGAGAAGCGTTCTTTCAGATTTCACAAGAAAGATCTTGTAAAATGCTTCAATAACGATTTCTTCATCCAGCTAAAGCCAACTGAAAAGAAAGATATTTGCTCTAATGAGACTCAAGATGAGGATGTAACCCCGATTCTGGTTAAAGAGAACAATGTTATCCAGGCTTTGGAGCCAGAAGCTCCTGTCTTAAAATCAAAATAAGAACAACTATATGAAGCAAAACACTATATTTCATAATTACTTTGCTACTAGATATGGTAATGAGGAGGAATTAGGTGACGACTTCACACACAAAAGTTTATCTCTAAACCGCCCGAAAGGGCTCTCCACTGGTGTGTCCCAGAAAGATCACCTAGATTCTGACCTGCGGACGAGAAAGCTAGAGTCTTTCCGAGTTGATGACCAGAGAACTGCTATCAGCTTGAGCAAGAGAAAGCCTAAAGCGCTCCGTAAACCTCATAATAAAAACAACTCGCAATGGAAAGTTTTAGAGACACAGAAAAATACAGAAATGAACTTACCAGATATTTCAAAAACAAGGTCAAATTTCTCAGAAAACTCATCGTCAATTGACAAGATCAAGGGAAAATCTTTCAAGAAGAAGAACTCAAAGATTACAGTAAGGGGTGATCAGTCTTACTTTGAGAGGTAAGTTCTTCGTTTTCACCCAATATAGAGCAACAAAGAAAGTTATTAATCGGAGGGCGATAAAATAAGAAATCTAGCTTCAAAAATAGTGACAGTGATTTCCTCAACCAATTGGTTGAGGAGTTTGGAGACACTAAAGAGTGAGTCTCTTGCTTGTCTAACACTTCTAGAACCAATTATTCCACTTATCATGAATCCCTCGCACGTCAAAATGCTAATATTAGCACTAGGATAAGGAAGAGGTCAGAGCGAAGTAAGAGAAGGATACCTTCTAAATTTGTTCTTGAGCCAGCAAGCAACATGATCGCCAAGAATAAGGCCAATATAACCTTAATTAAACGAAGGAATGGTGGCAACCATTTCTAATCTTGATCCAATGGTATTGATGAATGTGCTGGATTCATCCTTGTGCAGGCTTTAGCAATTGGTAAAGATCGTAACACCTTCATAATAATCTGAGATCTCAATTATATGGGCTCATTAAGGGGTTTTGGGGTTTTGGGGTTTTGGGGTTTTGGGGTTTTGGGGTTTTGGGG